AGGGCACGGCAGCTCTGTGGGAGTGTCCAGGTACAGTTCAGCTTTGCTTTCAGTGTCAAAGGAATATGTGGGAAGTAGTACAGTCGTTTCAGTGCCATCTACATCTGCTCACTGTAGCATCAGGTTCCTGACCCAGAGTGCACATATCCACACACTGGGTTTTTCCAGGGGTATATTGTAGGTGCAGCAAAGCAGATGAGGCCCAGTGCCACTGATCTGCTGCTGATAGCTCTCTTCTTGCTCATGTTTGAGTGTATTTTGCGTTGGTTTTGATTCAGTTCTAAACTTAGATAAGCACAGCAACTTTAGCATCAACAATCTGCCTCAGTCTTGTTTGTTTGGTTTGACCTTATAGTGAGATCCTTCTCAAACCCAAGGAAACACTTTGTTTTGTTAGCTGTGTTTTGAGATGGTGATCTGGCAGTGTGAGCTGCTCTTCCCAGTCTGTGCTGTTCCTGGTCAGGCTGTGCGTGTAGGGTTCTTCAGCTGTTTGGTTTGCAGTCAGTGCTTTGGGACTCTTCCAGCTTCAGGGGTTAGCTTTCAGGTTTGTGATTTCCTGAGTGATTTTTTTAACCTTCCCCTCTCCTATCACTAAATTATTCAGTTGGGTTTGTGGAGTGCTGGAAGTGATGTCAAATCCTTCTTGGAGTGTCTTTCTCGAGGTGGTGTTTGGGGATGTGCCGATGTGGTACATTCATGGCACGTGATCCCACCTGCAGTCAGAGGTGTGGTAGCCTGGACCTGTGTCACACAGCCCTTGGTGAGAGGTGATGGGGCAGTCAGTCAGTGCAAGGGTGAGGGTTTGCACCAAAAGGAGCTGCTCTTTGAACAACAGCCTGTGTGCCCTTACATGCGCTCAGCTCTGGCAGCTGATGTGTGTGTGCCATAGAAAGTTCCACAGCCAGGCAGGGAAAATCAATAATACTCCACTCTATGTGCTGGAGCAGCAGAAGGGCATGCAGGGCCAGAGGATGCTGCTGTTGGCCTTAACTCTTTGATGTCCAGCACTCCTCGTCTGGGCCCGAATTATGAAAGAGACTAATTAATTACTTTACCACAAAGGAAGCTGAGGGAAGTAGATTACAATTTTGATCTCTGTACAAAAAGGTTTGTGTGCGGGTTGAATTAGTCCCTCGAGGACCTTATGGTTTGCAGTATGTGCAACAAAAGGGCACTTGTTTCCTTATGAAAACACACTGCACATCCCCAGCTTCCCTGCCAGAGCTGCAGGGCTGTGGGAGCTGCGAGCAGCGTTCCCCACCAGCGTCAGCGTTTGGTCACCTCACGGTATTCAAACGCTGCAATGTGATCCATATTTTCTTTCAAATTCAAGTGAAAAATGAATTGTCATAGCTGCAAACTGCCCACACTGAAATAACTGAAGGGTTCAGGGTCAGCATGACAAAGAAGGCTCATGTTCACTCTTTACATGTAGCTGCACAGTGGATCACCCTCTAGAGAGAACCTGACACACCGAATCGTAGGCTCCCTGGTAACAGAAGCAGAGTGTGTGTCAGAAGAGGAGTGCACTGCTGTGTTTCACTTTAAAAACACACACTGTTCTGTGTGTGGCAGATAAAGGTGGATTGTGTGGGAATTCTCATCTTTTCCCTTGCGTTGCTCCCAGTGCTGGCACGGGTCCCTCCTTCCCTCTGCTCCTTCCTGTGCCCAGAGCCCTCTCTGCAGTGTGGGCTCTGAACCCCTACACCTGCCCCTCTGCCACTCTCCTGCCTGGGCATCAGGCTGCTCCCTCTGCCTTCTCCGAGGATGGGCTAGTCACAGGCGTTCCCAGGCCTGGCTGGGGGAGCCTGCAGGCTGTTCTGAGTGCCCTGGGCTGTGTTCTGAGACCTGCAGGCTGTTCTGAGTGCCCTGGGCTGTGTTCTGAGACCTGCAGGCTGTTCTGAGTGCCCTGGGCTGTGTTCTGAGACCTGCAGGCTGTTCTGAGTGCCCTGGGCTGTGTTCTGAGACCTGCAGGCTGTTCTGAGTGCCCTGGGCTGTGTTCTGAGACCTGCAGGCTGTTCTGAGTGCCCTGGGCTGTGTTCTGAGACCTGCAGGCTGTTCTGAGTGCCCTGGGCTGTGTTCTGAGACCTGCAGGCTGTTCTGAGTGCCCTGGGCTGTGTTCTGAGACCTGCAGGCTGTTCTGAGTGCCCTGGGCTGTGTTCTGAGACCTGCAGGCTGTTCTGAGTGCCCTGGGCTGTGTTCTGAGACCTGCAGGCTGTTCTGAGACCCATGGGCCGTGTTCTGAGACCCATGGGCTGTGTTCTGAGACCCACAGGCCATGTTCCATCAGCACATGGGGTGTCTGGGTGGACATCACAAGCACTCTGCCTTGTCCAAGTCTACTTCCCTTCAGCAGTGTCTCTTCAAAGGATACTATGGATACTCCCAAAAATGTGTTTTAGGGATTGGATTCTCACCATTTCTTTCTTGAGGGTCTCATCTCTTTTGCTCTTTGTATTTCAGATGTTTAAACACCATGTTGTCCTCTCACCATCAGCTTCTGCTGCACAACTATAGTTGCTGCAAACTAAATGTTAGGAGAAGTATTTTCCCTGTTGTGGTGTTCAGCACTGGATATTGCCCAGGGAGGTGGTGCAGTCACCATCCCTGGAGGTGTTTCAGAGGTGTCTGATGTGGCACTGCAGGATCTGGGTTAGGGTTTGGGGGGTCCAGCAGTGACAGGTTCATGGTTGGACTGGATGATCTTAGAGGTCTCCTCCAGCCCTGATGATTCCATGACTGTGGTTCTGTGAGGCAGCACCTTCTGTGTCTGTGAGCAGTAACACTGTATGAACATAGCAGCACAGTCTGAGTTGTCTCTCTTTTAAAGAAGCAAATAAATCCTCCTTTTTGTCTGCTGTTCACTGTGAATGACATCTTTTGTTGACAGTGGCATGCCCATTTTATTATGCTGACTCCCTAGCCCCGTGAGGTGCTCATTGTGTCTCATGGTTTTCCCCAGAAAGCTTTCCCTGTTTAACTGCCTTGGGCTGCTGTTTCCTTGTGCTCTGGCTTGGTAGAGGCTGTTTGCCTTCACATTTCCATTTTTCTCTTGTCTGTACTGGAACATGATGTCTCTTAATGTGCTTTCATAATTTTATTATGCTTCCTAAGACACTTGCAGAGCTGGAAGACTTAGAGTGAGAGGTGTTATTTCTTTGGACAGTACTAACAGTGTCTTGTTTGTTCTGGAGACAGTATTGTTGGTTGTTGAAACTGGTGGCTCTGCCAGCTCTGGATGTCTCAGATAATTTCTTCCCTTACCATACTTCCCCTTGGGGCTTTTGTAGTTCTGGTTTTGTTTTTCTTATTGGGAAAAACTTGGGCCATCAGCTGAAGTGTTCTCTAGTTTACACCATGTGTCCAAGCAGAGATGCCATCACATTAGGGCTAAGGTTTTGCAGCCTCATTCAAAAGTTTGAGAGCTGAGAGTGTTGAGGACAATCAGGGAAACTTCTGAAATGGTGTGTGTGAGGCATTAGCATTTAAAATATTGCCAAGGTTTCTCTGGCAGAGAAGGAGAGAAAGAAAAAAACCCAATGGGGGTTGGGGGGAAGTGGTTGAAAGTCATTAGAGAGTACTCTAGGAACACCACATGGGTGTCTGGGTGGACAGCACAAGCACTCTGCCTTGTCCAAGTCTCTTAAAGGGTACTGTGGATGCTCCCAACTCCATCCTCGTCCCTCCTGCAGTATGAGGTGTTGCCTGCAGAGTAAACGAGCATTAGTAGGCAGATAGCAGTGCACCAGGGAGAGGTGTGTGGGGTTGGTGCTGCTGCAGCTCTCCTGCCTTCCTCGCCCCCTCTGGTGCTCTCTGCTGGGTGAGGAGCTCTGTGCCAGTGCTGGGACACCCTGTCTTTGGGGGTGTGTGCCTCTGGAGGCACCAAAATGAAGCTGGTGGAGTAGAGAGCAGATCAGCTCTGTGCCTCTGGAGGCACCAAAATGAAGCTTGTGGAGTAGGAAGCAGATCAGCTCCGTAGTATTTACTGGAGCTGGAAAGGAAAGAGTCTCTAAATTTGATTTTTGAAGCAGTAAGTGGCTGATGTAAGCAAAAAATGGACCAGAGTGTACACTGGGATTTTGTGAAACTGCTCCTTCAAAGATGCTTCCTAGAAAAGACACGGTCTGGTTTAATTCTGTTTCTCCTTGACACTGGAGTTAGATATTTTCATTACAGATAGTTGTTCTTGTTTTGTACTTGGGACTCTTTGTATTTGGAGTCATGTGCAGAGCAAAAAAAACCCCAAACAAATATGACATTTTTCTCATTAAAAGACAGAGTGAAGAAAGCGAAAATTGCGTAATTTCTGAATTCTGTGTCCCACTTTCTGTGTCTTTGGCCTCTGAAGTACTCCCAGCACTGATGTTACTTGCCCTGCCTGGAAGGAAGCATTGGTAGTAACAGGATAGTCTGACACTGCTAGGGCAGCAGCTTAGTTTGGAGATGGACAGAAATGCTACTGAATGACCCTCAGAATGTTCTTAGCACTTGAGTTTTCTTCTGAAACCTCAGCTATGAAGGCAGGGGAAAGGAGTGCAGGAGTTGAGGAGATGTAGAGCTTTTTGGAAGCAAAGCTCTTGGGTCATTGCTCTCCTCCCTACACTGTGCAGACCATCATCTAGTGTGGTATTTAGGAAACCAGTGTAGGTCCAAAAACTAGAGACACGATCATAAAGACCATGGAATTGTAGATTTTTAGGGTTTGGACTGGACCTTGGATCAAATTAAATGTTTGTTTTGAATCCTACTGCAATGGGGAGGGTGTTGTGAGTCTCTCTGGGGTTAGGGTTTGATGATGTTTTTCTCATCTGGCACAATATTTCTCATCGTTCCAAGTGTAGTTTTGTTCACATTTCTCACTGTAGTTCTGCCCTGTGATCACGTAGTTTTGTTCACATTTCTCACTGTAGTGGTGCCCTGTGATCACATTTTGTCGATCTGTTTTTGTGCTGGGCTGAGCGGAATGAAAGCGTTTCCAGAGTCTCAGACAGTCAGTGCTCATGGTCAGGCTGACCCTGGGCCTGTTTCGGCTTTACCCTTCTCTGGAGGATAAGCACCAGTTTCCTCACGATGAGGTTTCATCCTCAGTGTCACACCTTGCAGCCAAGGTAAATCATGTTCTTTGGAACTCCAGCGTTGAAATCCTGTATGTCTCAGGCAGTTACCAGATCTTCTTGGGCAGCTTATCGGGGAGGATGTTCACAGCCCTCATCGATGTTCCATGCTGATGTGTGACCCCTGGCCTTGGGGTTCTCACTGAGCTAATGTTAGCAGTGCAGTACCAGTTAAAAGGCTTCCTTATTTCCTGTCAGGGTCGGGGAGGGGAAGGTGTCCTCGTTTTCCTCTCCCACGTGATAGGCGCTGGAACACGAAATGGAAATGAGAAGCCACAGGAATAGCTGAAGTGAAGTCTGAAGAAGCACTAAGTTCTAGCTGTAACCGGTGATGAAAACATGAGAAGTAGAAGAGATTTGGGTCATTTGTTCTGTTCTGTGTAGCTCAGTTGGCTCTGACCACAGGAGGTTAAGGACTGTGTTTCGTATCTCTTTCGGGAGGGAAGAGCAGGCATACGAGTTACATTTCTTTACCTTGATATGCATCCAAGAATCTTCTTTAATGTTCCTAAAATACATTAGCAGATGATGAAAGACCTGGAAGTTACTATGATATGCTAGAGCTTGTTTTGAAATTCCATAGGTACAGAGAAGAGCATTTTAAAATGGGTTCATTAGTGTAATAGGATATTCTGCATTAATATGTATAGGCTGAACATCTGTCTCTGTTGCTTCTTTTTGTTTGGCCTCAGATGCAGCATGATTTCCATTGGAAATGGGAGTCAGACTGTACTCTGCATTTTGGAGAGATGGGTTCTTGTTTATGAAAAAACAAGTCACTGTGTTTTATCCCAGGTGACGAATGTTTAGGGAGAGAATCTTACAACCAATCTATTTTATAGCAAAACCTTTTGCCCCTTACTGAGTCATTCGGGAAAGCTTGTGAAGTGTGTGTTTGTCCCCAGGCAAACCACTGGGCCACAGCATTTTGTGTTTTGAAGTACAACCCTCTTGTCTTAAAAATGTATGCACAAGAACCACCTTATCCTTCTCATCTTCTCCTTCTGAAGCTCCTCTGTGTTTCATGTGGTCACTGCTCTTAGAGGCAGTCAGTAAGCACAGTGATACTCTGTGTTCTGGAATCTCCAGTGTGTTAGTCCAGGGCTGAGGAGTTACATCATGAATAAAACAGTCTCCATGCCGGAGCAGTGAGGTGAAGAGCAGCAAAGTTCCTGGGGAAGGTAGTGGATGAAGACTCTTCTTAAGGAGCAGACGTAGTCTTCCCAGTGGCTGAGTTGCCCATTTGCAGAGGAAAGCCTTTGGCCTAGGTGTGGAGGTTCAAAAGTGGGAGCTAGTCCTAATGGCTGGAGACGCAGGTTGGAAAATGGTCTTAGATCCTGCTCTTGCAGAAGGTGCCCACTGAGCAGTGAGGTCAGGCTCACTGCAGCGCTGAACTGTTCTGGTTCCCTCCTGACAGCTTTCCTGAAAGGCAGGCAGAAGGAGCTGTGAACCCTCTAGTGGAGCTCTGTGAAACCTGGAACCTGTGTTTGCTCTCTGCCTGGGCAGGGGACTTGGAGACTGAGTCCTGTGAGGAGCAGCTGGGGGAGCTGGGGGTGTTTAGCCTGGAGAAAAGGAGGTTCAGAGGACTTTATCACCCTCTACAACTATCTGAAAGGAGGTCGTAGCCGCCTGGGGATCATTCTCTTCTTCCAGGCAGCTAGTGGAGATGAGAGGAAATGGCATCAAGCATCAGGAGGCTCAGGCTGGACATCAGGAAGAATTTCTTCACTGAAAGTGTTGTTGGGCACTGGAATGTGCTGCCCAGGGAGATGGTGTAGTCACCATCCCTGGAGGTGTTCAAGAACTGCCTGGACAACTTAGTGCTGTGGTTTAGTTGGCATATTGGTGTTCAGGCAAAGGCTGGACTTGGTCTGAGAGGTCTGTTCCAGCCTTAATGGTTGTGTGATTTGGCCTCTGCAGAACTGGTCTCAGGGGTCTCACCTGAGCTTCTGAGTTAAAGGTATAGCAGAGACTCATCTGCAGTGGTTCTAGGCCAGACTAAGAGCTGGAACTAGAAGGTCCTTTCTATTATTCTAAGATTTTAAGAATGAAATTGGAGATATTTGGGCATTCTGGTAGGGCTAAACCCTGGAGTCTCAGCTGGTGCATACCAGGGTAGAGTCACTGCAGTCTGCACACCAGAGGTTGGCTGCCTTGGGGGGATCCCTCTCCCCCACTGCTTGAGGGTCTGGAAGACGAATTTGGAGGAGAGTTGTTTTTCCAGTTTCTGTTATTTAACTTCTTGCATGTTATGAATAGGTTTCCTATAATGTGGGAACAACTCTTCTGTAATTATAGCCAACGGGCCTTTCTTGCTGTTAAACACTTGGCTGTGACTTGACTGAACTGTCAGGTACTTACATGGAAAATTCCGCCTCTGGCCTTTTATTTTCAGCTTTTTTTTTTCGGGGGGAGGAGTGGGGGAAGTGTAGAGCAAACAATTGTTTCTTCTCAGTCAAGGTCAGGAGGAAAATCCGTTCCTTTGTTTGTGTTTGTGGAGGAATCCTGCGGGTTTTTGTGCCGGAGGGTTCGGTCCCAGTCAGAGCACTGGGGCAGCTCTGCTAAAACATGGCCCAAATGTGAATCTCTGGAAGTCTCACTCCATACCTGCTGAGCAGTGGCGTTTTGGGGATTAGCTGCCTGGCACCCAGCGTGCTGGTCCTCGCTGTGGGTGTGCTCCAGAATCCCCTGTAATTGCTCTTTTGGGCTGCTCAGACTCTGTCATGTGGCTTGCTCTAGCCTGCAGAGAGGGAGTTCTGTGCTCCAGACCCCACTGGCCAGGCAGGGAGTGGAAATGTCCAACAGGAATAGACTGGAAGTACTGGTACCCACTCATAGTGCAGCCAGGGTAATACTCAAACAGCCTTGAGACTCCTGGAGATGTAAACCACTTGTCTTGTGTCCCAAGTGCATTTTTCCCCTCCCAGAATAAGATGCTGATGTATACTAACCCCATCCATCTGATGGGTGAGTGTTTCACTCATCTGATGCATGAGTTTACCAATTTCAGTTAAATTTACACACTCTTCCCATGTACTGTATGTTCATCTGTATCCTCACACTTTCTTGTGTGCAATGTACTGCTTAATTAGGCCTGAACTGCTCTAGTTTATACCCAGCTGTTCTGTTAGCATTCCTGGTTTGTTGCCTTTCAGCCCAGTTTTTGTGAACCTCCTTGCCCCCCAGCAGGGCTCTGATTACCATCTGTGTACCTTTGGCAGGAAAATTAGCTGAAAAGCCTTAGTGATGCCTCACTGCTTCCCAGCAGAGCCTCTGGTTGCTCGGTTATTACTCCTGCCTGTTTGCCTGCCATGGGAAGATGAGAGTCATGTACACATCAGGGTTTGTTGCTGTGGTGAAAAATGGTGTCCTTGGAGTAATTTTTGGTAAGAATACTTGTCAAATTGGTACTAATTTGCACCTCTGAGTTCTGCAGAAGGGATGGAGCATAATAATAGGTGATGAATTAGCCTTTGCTTGTGTAGACAACTAGGGGTTTGTTTTGTTTGTTTGTTACACTTTGGAACATGTTGTATTTGTGGTGTAATGGAGTAGCACTGAACTAGTGTCAGTGCCATTCTCACACACCCTGTGAGCAGGAGCAGCAACTTGCCTGTGCTGTGCTGGGCAGTGTGTGCACTTCTGTGGGTGTACAAGCAACCCACACCTGTCTCTGGTCCGGGGAGAGGCAGTCAAACCTTCAGTTCATGCTGGATGCCTCGTGGTCCCGTCAGTGTAGAACACACTGGTGCACCAGTGCCACGTGGGGATTTCACTGCTGAGCCAGCTCTGACCCTTGGGCTCGCGGGGTCAGAGGCTGCAGGTCTGGTGGTACAGAAAGGAACAATGGGTGTACAGCAAATTAAGGGTTTCATAAGTCTGTCTGTCCTGTCTGTTGTGGCTCCTTCTAGCAGTGACTGCTCTCTGCAACTCCTGCCAGGGCTGGAGAGAGGTGTGGGATGTGTGTCCTGCCAGGGCTGAGGGAGAGGAGAGAGGGAATGGCCTTGAGCTGAGCCAGGGCAGAGTCAGATTGGATGTGAGGAGAAATGTTTTCCCTGTTGTGGTGTTCAGCACTGGATATTGCCCAGGGAGGTGGTGCAGTCACCATCCCTGGAGGTGTTTCAGAGGTGTCTGATGTAGCACTGCAGGATCTGGGTTAGGGTTTGGGGGTTCCAGCAGTGACAGCTTCATGGTTGGACTGGATGATCTTAGAGGTCTCCTCCAGCCTTGATGGCTCCATGACTGTTCATTCCATTCCTGTCTAGTGAAGCCCTTTACACTGCCTAGATTCCTTTCTCCCTGTGATAAAGGGAGCCATCAGCTCCTGCCTGCAGCAGAGCCTGCAGGAGCCCAGCTGTGCTCACTGACACCACAACCCCCAAGGCCCTGCACTCTCTGCTCAGCAGAGCCCAGGGAGCTGTGGTGCAGAGCTGCAGGGCGCTGTGGTGCAGGAGCCCAAGGAGCTGTGGTGCAGGAGCCCAGGGAGCTGTGGTGGAGGAGCCCAAGGAGCTGTGGTGCAGGAGCCCAGGGAGCTGTGGTGCAGGAGCCCAGGGACCTGTGGTGCAGGAGCCCAAGGAGCTGTGGTGCAGGAGCCCAGGGAGCTGTGGTGCAGAGCTGCAGTGTGTGCCCCGTGTGCTGCTGTCGCGGCCCTGGGGCCACCCTGGGCCAGCAGTGGCACTCACTCTCTGCCTGTAGTCACAGTTCACTTTGGTGAGGATGTTTCCCTCTCTGTCCAGGTCCAAGGTGCAGCTTTCCGGGGCTGGAAGGAAGTGACGTCTCTGTTCAACAAGGATGATGAGCAGCAGTTGCTTGCAGGATGCAAATCTGCGAAATCCAAAGGGTGAGTGGAACCAGTTGGTCTCTCTGCTCTTAAAACACACTCCCTGGGACAGGAGATAGCTGTGCAGAGCAAGGAAGCTAAACAGAGAACTGCTGCAAGGCACGTCCCAGGGAAGGCTGTGTGCACTGGGAGCCAGGCAGGAGCTGAGCTGGCAGGGGCAGGGATGGATGCTCAGAACTGTTGGGTCTGTCAGGAACAAAAGGGATTTTAGCTGCATAAGAATGTTTTTACTGTAGAAAAGGACTAAAGGCTTTTGAGGAAAAGGGTCATGTTCACCCTCTCCCTTTTCTCTTATGGAGTAATTATGGTTGAGTGTACAAACTCCTTTTTTTTTTACATACTTAGCTTTCTCTTTTTAAGTCTTATCTGCACCTGAAAAGGTGCAGCTGTACTAGTCCTCCCTGTCGGAGCTGAGGAGTTTGCTTGGCACAGTTCTGCTCTGGTTAGAGCTGGTCTCTGAGCAGACAAACCTCTTCCAGCACAGATGGTTGTGCTGCTACAAGTATGTGTAGTCCTCACCTACCTGTGCTCCCCTCAGGAGGAAACGTACCACGTATCAGCCAAGCGTTAGCTCTGCTGAGATTGCTGTAGTGCTCCAGCTCACCTTGAAAGGTGTGTCTCAGAGTGCAGGTGTGGTGTGCATACACAAACGGTGTGCAGTTAAAAACGGGTTTCTGTTCCATCTGTTTCCAGCCACTCTGTCTGTACGATTTTATGAGTGGTGTTTGCTCCTCTGATGCTGCTGTGCCGTTGATGCTGAATGAGACTCAAGTCACATAGTGAAGGAGCAGAATCGTGAGAACAGTCACCACAACAAGGAAAGCTGTTCTGGTCTCACTGTGAGAGCTGCCTGGTTTTTAAGTTAGGGATATTTAACTGTACAGCACAAGTTTAATTCACATTACTCTTAGAGAAAAATGCAAGTTTCCAAGTGCAGTGCTCAGAAAACAAGAGAAGTGTCTGCAGCCTGGGACTGGTTTAAGCAGGATGAAAATTCTGAGCAATTACAAACTGAAGAGTCAGTAAAGGAAAAGCAATTTTAAAGGTATTGGTTGAGTTGCTTCTGTTTAAATACGATAGAGCCAAGGTTTCACTAATGGAAAACAGCTCCTTAATAGCAACAGTAAAGAGATTCGGTGGTGGTTTTACGTGTGGCTGAGGAATTTATGTGCTGCTGGCAGATAAGGTTTTCAATTTGCTGTTTAGCCCATTGAACCCTGGAGAGTGTGTCTCACTCTGGTGTTCAGCCTTTCCTGGGGCCACTCACTGCCTGCTCACACAGCTCACCCTGCAGATAAAGCCAGTGCAGGAACACTTGGTGTCCTGTGAGTGTGGAGTGACTTGGGGCCAGGGCTTAGTGGGTAAGGAAGGTAACAGAGTAGCCTTGTGATGTCTCCTGGAGAGAGGTGTTACAGGTGGCTGTTCCTTGGTTTGGGGATTGGGGAGCTCTTACCAGAAACACAGACCAGCTGCTGTCACAGTACTGTGCAGAGCTTTGTGGAAACAATGCTGCTGTCTCTCAAGTCCCAACACTGTGTACATCAGCTGTGTTAGGGGATCAGGTGGTAACAGGTGTGTGAAACAGAGGAGCACAGTGTTAAGGCTGATGTTAGAGCATGTTCATGCTCCTTATACCGTCCTACCTCCACCTGGGCTTTTGTTTCCTTTTTCAAAGTCCTAAATTGTTCTAATGCATCCTAAAGTACTTCATACATTTCCAAAGGCAGTGCTGTGTATCTCTGTGTGTGTGTGTCTCTATGTGTGAGTGAATGTAGGTTTTTTTAGAGTAGGAAATGCCCATGCTCAGTCCTCTCCTGACTGAGCACTGCAAGGTTCTGCTGTTTAGGCTCAGGTGTATAGGAGGGTGTTTTTCCCGAAGCTGGCAGTGCTGGGTGTGCAATTAGGCTGACAATTGATTGGCATTCCTTGCTGCAAAATGCAATACATTGATTGAATTTTATCAGTAGCACTACATACGCTGTTAAGTGCAGGAATCAACCATCACAGCATTGTTGTTTTGCAGAACAAACCTGAAGCTGAAGGAGGAGCTGAAGGCTGAGAAGAAGCCAGGCTTCTGGGACAGTTTGGTGATAAAGCAGAACGTCCCACCACGGAAACCCGACGAGATGGAGGGATGGGAACCACCTCGGATTCCCTCTGCCCACTCTGCCAGCGACGCAGCTGCGCCGAGTGACTGCACAGCCTGGGCAGGCTGGGAGGATGAAACCAAAGGCTCCACGAAATACACGACTCTGGCCAGCTCAGGAAACAGCTCCAGGTGGAGCATCAAATCCGCTGGGAAGCTGGTTAGCATTAGACGTCAGAGCAAAGGTAACCTGACTGACAACTGGGAGGAACTGGAGTGATCCTGCTAATGTGAAAGGCTTTAGGGATGGGAAAGGTTCCGTGACTTACTGTGTGTTTAAACCAAAATCAAATCTGCTCAATATTGCACCTTTATACAGTACTTTGTTTTATTCAGATTGTTACCAAGTTTTGCTCACCTGATAGTGAATTTTCTTATGACATTGTTAAATAGCAGTTTTTCCACACTGAAAGAAAAGAGAATCTATTTTGTGCCTATACTTCACGTTCAGACTCTGCAGGATGTTGTGCTGTTGGTTGTACCAAAAACCAAAGGAGTTCTGAGTGAAAGTCTGACTGCCTTACGTGGGAAGGGCCCTGGCTGAGCCCCTGAGGTTGTGCTGTCCCCTGTGGACTGAGAATCCCAATCTGTGGCTGTGCCTGGGAGACTGTCTGCCACACCTCCAGCCTCAGCGTGTGCACACGAGGTGTGAAACAGGGAAATACCATCCCACCCTGGGACTGTCAGGTCCAGTGGGGCTTCCAGAGCTGGGGCTTTCCCTGTTGGTTTGGGGTTGTTTTGTGTGTGTTTTGTTTGTTTGTTGGGGTTTTTTAATATGGAACTTTTTGGACCAAGCTAGGTTCCTCAGATTGTCAGGTGCAGGTCATGCCAAGAATAGAACTGGCTGGGAATCTGGAAAGGAGCAGTGAGGAGAGCATAGGATGATCTCGATATTCTGAGGGGATATCGAACCTGAATCTAGGAGTAAGTTGCTCCTTGTGCAAGGGCATGTGTGTTTTTAGTTTTTTACCACAGCTGATCCTTGTTATCCAAACTACTTTGGTTTTCACCTTGTTGTTCCTTCCCCCCTTGCCCCATGAGCCATGACCAAACTCTCCCCTGGCAATTTTCAGGGGTACTGAGTACCTGAGCCACTGCAGGTTGTGCTTGCACACAGGTTCTGAAGCAGAGCTCCAGCTCACTAGCTACTGAAGCTTTGGGGTTTTGGTAGAGGAAGGTGAAGGAGTAAACTTGAGATGTGAGATGTGTATGTGAATACTAAAAGTGCCTCTTTCTAGCATCTCGTGTCTCGTTAGCAGTGCAGCTGATGTCAGGTCAGAGTTGCCTTCCCTTTGGTTTCTGTGACCCATATAAACACCAACAACAATCAAACCAAAAGCTTTACAAGGCATTACCAATAGTTTGCTCTCCTGGTGGTCAAACTGGGATAGCAGAGCTGAAGAGCCCTGGGCAATGTGCCAGGACAGTCAGGTAGTGTGTCAGGAAATCATTTCCACAGTACAGAATATACTGTACATAACATGTGTCTTGTGAACTTGCTCCTGCCAGAAGGTTCTGCTGACAAAAAGGGATGCATACACATTTCTTTCTGAGCTTGTTTCTGCTCCTGCCACATTACTCCTTCCTCAGCTCTGCCTTTCTCCTCTCTCCCCCAGTTCATGGCTGGTTTTTTGGCCTACAGTTCCTGCATAGCTGCTCCTTGGAGAAACCTGTTGAGATGTGCCTGGAGGGAAACTGGAGCAAAAGGGTTTGGGTTGTTTGTTTGTTTGTTTTCCTGGTATTAACAGGATGTTAGAGATGTTGTTCTCAAGTTTATATGAATGACCACTGATGTCTGTGCTACAAATAATGCAACTGGCAAATGCATTGGTGAAATTGGCATCAGGTATTAAAAGCACTGACAGAGAAAGGCTCAGCATTTGTACTGGAACCTGCAGCCTGTGAGTAAACTCTGTGTGTGCCCTGGGCAAGTCCATGGTTAATTACAGGAGAGAATTAGCTTTCTGGGGTGCAGCATGCTGCAGTTCCTAGGGTATGGAATGCCCCCCAAGGCACAGCAAGTGTTTAGTTTGGTTGTTGGTGCTGACCCAAACAAACAGATCTGTTAGCAGCCCTTGGTATTTTGCTCTCGGAGATGGGCTGAGAACTTTTGATTTCACTCCTGAAGAAACTGTCTATACTGTGACCAGTAAAGGTTTTGCCTTGCACATTATACTGCCAAGTGCCTGTCCCTCACCTCGGTGACGTGTTTGATGCACAGCTTAACTGCAGCACTGTCCACTTTGGTTTGGATGGATGATAAAGAGTAATATGCTCACAAAGCCTATTGTAAAGCAAAATTCCATCCCAGTGGGAAACTGAGATATGTAGACTTCCACCTTCACTCCTAGTGATGACAGTTTTGGTGTGCTTTTCGGTGCTGTTTCCTCAGAAACGACATTCTAAGGCTGAGCATTGGTGAATCTAATATAATTTATTGTTATGCTTTAGTAATGTGTTTGTCTGCTGAGGACTCACTGGTGTGAGCTTCCCTTCTGTTCATAAATGGGTTTTCAGAGCAGGTTCTCTCCCTGGGCCAGGTGCTGAGCCACACGACACACTGATGGCTTGAGCTCCCCACAGCTCCAGGTGTGGAGTGAGTGTGGAACGTGTCCCATACGTGAGTTGTGAGACTGCGTTTCGGTCTCTGACCTGGCTTGGAAGGAGGCAGCATGGAGAGTGTAGCAGGAGATTGCACAGAATAAGGTCTAGTTCCTCTTGCTCTCTCCCAGCCAGTCTGTGTGGGTGAGGCTTCATGTGGCTCTTACGGTCACTTCTCCCCCAGTAAAGTCCTTTCTGACTGTTTTTATTTATTAGCATCATTTGCAAAGAATAGTAGTATTTTCCATATGAATAAAGATTTAGTTTGAACTGAAATGCCTTTTCCTGTGACAGTTTTTTGGTCCTGGTTTGTCATGTGAACTTGTTTCCGTCTGTGCGGGCATTGTAGAGTATGAGGAAGTGATTGCCACGTTTGTCCACACTCCATGAGTCACAGACTCATCCAGGTTGGGGGAGACCTCTAAGATCATCCAGTCCAACCATGAACCTGTCACTGCTGGAACCCCCAAACCCTAACCCAGATCCTGCAGTGCCACATCAGACACCTCTGAAACACCTCCAGGGATGGTGACTGCACCACCTCCCTGGGCAATATCCAGTGCTGAACACCACAACAGGGAAAACATTTCTCCTCACACCCAATCTGACTCTGCCCTGGCTCAGCTCAAGGCCATCCCCTCTAGTCCTCATGCCACCTTGGAAGCTGCAGCATCCCAGATTTGAAGTATCCTGCATTGCTTGCACAGTGGGAAGAATTAATTTTTTTTTGACAAACTACAAATATTTTACCAGTAGTGCCCAAACACCTCTGGCCCAACCCTCCTCTCTGCCCTGGCTCAGAGAGAAGAGGTCAGAGCTGTCCCTGCACTTCTTTCCCTGAGGGAGCTGTACCCAGTGATGAGCTCTGTGCTCAATCTCCTCGACAGGGTGGACAAGGACCCTGCCAAGCTGTGACCACAGATGTTCCCACAGCCCAGGTGAACTGTCCCAATTCCCAGAACATTTTGAAATGCTAATGGATGTGACTGTTGGATGACAGAACTGCAGTTCCTACCTCTGTGCAGCCTGAAAACACCAATGTGCTCTTGGCATGGAGCCGTTTCTTGCATACCTGAACTGCTGTTGCTGTGGTTGTTTTTCCCTGAGTGCTGGTGGGTTGGATTGTGATGCCTCTGGGAAATGAAACCAGGACTGTGAAGGAGAAAAATAATTTCCTAAAGGCTTAGTCACCAGTGATAGCTGCAAAGGTGTTTATCATTCGCTGTCTGTCAGTCTTGTTGCATGACTGCTCTGTACCACGCGAGCCAGGAATCAGGCACAGAGCCAGGGAGTTCAGCTTGGAAATAAGGAGAGAACATTTCTTCTAAGTGCAACCAGCAAAATAGCAGAATAAATACTACTCCTGCAGTCACAGGGCAATAAAGAGTACGAAAACAGTCAGAAAACAGGGATATAAATAACAGAAAAATCATATCCAATAGATAATAGCAAACCTAGTGTAGGGAGAAGATGGGTTTTTTTGTATATTTACCAACTGTTATCACTGGTGATGAAAAAAGGCATACCTGCTCTGTTTGGGAGGAAGATGTTCCTGTTCCGTGCCCAGTATTTCCTAAGAGATGCAGAAGTGACTGTGGTCTCTTCCAGTCCATGACAATCTGGTAAAAGCTTGGCTGGCACTGGGGTGTTTATGCCCTGGAGACCTGAGTGAAAGCTGAATGGCACATTTGGAGCTTGAGTTTGCAGTTGGCAGGGAGAGGATTGCTCCCTGCAGAGGAGAACAAGGTTGGTTCGGCCACTGCTGAAATCAGCACGTGATGCTTTGCTTTCTAGTTGCTCCAACCCCTCGTGCTGAGGAGCCTAACTGAGCAGCTGAGCTTAAGGACTTTGCCAAAGCTTGGCTTGTTTAGTCATTGGAGGTCATACAGACTTGGCACAGAGCCATTCCCTTCTGTTAGCCAATGTCCTTTGGCCTTTCCTGTCCTGTACCTCTTTCTCTGGACCCTCCAAATGCTCTTTCCTCGAGCATCTTGTTTGTCTCTGAGTCTTGCCATTCCCTACAAGCTCACACTGCCCTGTGGTGTTGGAGGGACAAAGAAAACACTGGGGGGTGTGAAAGGAAAGGAGATCAATGTGTCCTGAGCCCGAGGACTGTACTTGGCGTGGTATTTCTTGGTTTTGCTAAAGCTTTCTAATGGGCAAAATGATTAATGCCAATTACTGGTTGTTTTATTTTTGTACTTGTCCCGTTAGCTTTTCTTGGGGGGGTCACTCGTGCAAAGACATCATAACCTTTGCTGTTTCCCTGATGACAGACTCCCCTTTTGGGCAGAGCTGCGTTCAGTTTAGTGCTCATTATTTTTGTACTTGTCCCGTTAGCTTTTCTTGGGGGGGTCACTCGTGCAAAGACATCATAACCTTTGCTGTTTCCCTGATGACAGACTCCCCTTTTGGGCAGAGCTGCATTCAGTTTAGTGCTCAGTTTGTCTTTGGAACGTTTGGGCAGAAACTTGGCACCCAGCACCTGGCAGGACAAACAAAGGAAAGCAAGCCAAGCATCACTTCCCATTAGGAAGCAAACCATTGTTTGATGGGATGGAGCACGAGATTCCCAGAACTCACACTCAGAGACTGAATGAAATAGGTACTTGCCCTTTCTCTTCTTTTACAAACTCACACACCTCCTGGAGCCTGTGTGTGTGGCCTGGCTGTGCCACTGCTGCCTGCAAGGACAGCTCCTGCCCCTTGGCCAAACCATCATGGCCAAGGTGCTCATCCACCACGATCCCGTGGAGGATCTGAGCTCCTGTGCTGTGTGCTGAGACCCACCTGGATGGTCCTGAGCCCCTGATCTGTCGATGGACGTGAGGCCCTGCTCTGCTCTGTGCGCACAGCAGGATGGATGGGCCTGAGCGCCTGATCTGCTCTGTGCCCACAGCAGGGTTCCACCTGACTGCCAAACCCTTCTCCCAGGCCCTGGGGCGAACAGGCAGGGACTGTGTGTGGGGCGGGAAAGGCAGTTGAGTGACAGGTGTCAGTCAGACTGTGCTTGGGGGGGAGGCAGTGAGTGACAGGTGTCAGTCAGCACGTTACCTGAGGTCACCCGGGGAAGCAGATCCTCATCCAGCAGGCAGTGCAGTGTGAGCTGTTCCC